GCCCCTCACTACAAGAAAGACATTGAGGCGCTGGAGCATGTCCAGAGAAGGGCAACGAAGGTGGTGAGGGGTCTGGAGCACAAGTCTTCTGAGGAGCGGCTGAGGGAACTGGGCTTGTTTAGCCTGGAGAAGAGGAGGCTGAGGGGAGACTGTATCGCACTCTCCAACTACCTGAAAGGAGGTTGTAGTGAGGTGGGTGTCGGTCTCTTTTCCCAAGTAACTAGCAATAGGACAAGAGGAAACAGCCTCAAGTTGTGCCAGAGGAGGTTTAGATTGGACGTGAGGAAAAATTTCTTCACCAAAAGGGTTGTCAAGCATTGGAACAGGCTTCCCAGGGAAGTGGTTGAGGCACTGTCCCTGAGGGTATTTAAAAGACGTGTAGATGTGGTGCTTAGGGACATGGTTTAGTGGTGGACTTGGCAGTGTTAGGTTAACGGTTGGACTTGATGATCTTAAAGATCCGTTCCAACCTCAATGATTCTATGATTCTATGGTAATATAAATTTATATTAGACCCTGCTTCCCTGAGTGCCTACAGTTCATGTCTCTCATATTGTGTTGCACTGAAAATGTAATAAAACTTTTATAGGGACAGATATTTGGTATCATCCATGATGACAAAATATGGTTCAATTGGTTATGCGACCTCTCTCCCCCTCCCATCTTCTCTCCCTTCTTTCCCCCTTTCTCTTTTTCTCTCTTTTAATACACACACACACACACACACATTTATGTATGTATTTAGTTCAGTTTCTGTGCATTTCAATAATATTTTGATTTCTTTTTTCAGGAACAACCATACCTCCACTTCTCAACAGCACATCAAATAATCTGTACCTAAATTTTCAGTCTGATATCAGTGTTTCAGCTGCTGGATTTCATCTTGAGTATACAGGTAATGCAGAAATGTTCAATTAATTAAGAGTGCTTGCTGGTTCCAGACATCAGGTGTACCTAAACTATATGAAAGAGGAATATTCAGTTCTATTGCACATAATGAGCTACATACTGTTACTTTAAAGTCATTGGTAAAATCCTCACTTAATTCCAAGGGAGCAAGATCAGGCCTGAAACCTGTACTGTAAGGACTGGGAAGTTTAGTTTGTCTTGCTTTCACCTTTAATTTGGTTTTGCTCTCTGAAAAGCTTTTCTGAACATACAGCAGCCAGGAGTAAATACAGATATGCTCATGTGACAATCCTAATACCAAGATATAGCTTATTTATATAATTGTTGCAGGCAAAACCAGCATACTGATTTGGGTGAGTTCAATTTAACTTCTTTGCCAATTAACAATTAATTACTGATTTGGGTATTGAACAAAAACAATAACAAACAAACCCTTAGGAAAAATCCCCTGCTTCCCTCTGGACACCTACACACACACACACACTTTTTTGTTCTCCAGTGCAGCAGATTGGGTCAGTGTCCTGTGGTTCCTGTGGTCCCTTTAAGGTCCCACCTCTCAGTGCCTGCTCGAGTGGACACTCGGGCTCCAGCCTCTGCTCAGCCAGCTGCTTCGGCTGCAGCCTCTGCTCAGTCATGCTCGTCTCTCTGTCCTCCTCCAGTAAGGTCTCCTCTCTCCTCCTGCTCTGGCCTTGTTCCTTTTCTTAGTGCTTACCACCTTTTCTTAAATGTTTTCACAGAGGCACATCTGAGTGGTTTAGAGGCACCACAAACTGCTCTGGTCGGTGCAGCTGTGTCCTGTCTGTTGGACCTGGCTGGAAATGGCTATGTCCGGCACAGTCTCCGGTCTCTTCCCACAGATGCCACCCCTGCAGCCCCACACCCCACCCACCCCCAAAATCTACAAATTATGCACAACACAATATGTACTGTATAGTATGTTTTTTTACATATGTATAGAACATGAAAATTAATCATTTTCAGTGAAAATGAGAGACTAAATAAACTGAAAATAGCAGCTGTGCTTCTTAACTAGCTGACAAATGCTCACAGGTTGGTGAGAACACAGCAGAATTATTTCAAATGTTTTTACTATGGCTGAGTACCTTACCAGTGGAAAAGGCTATAATTATAAACATACTTTCTGTCTGAACGAGATTGCCTTAGCTGACTGACAGGAATTCTGGCACTCACTAATATTTTGTTGCAGATTTTTTTTTTTTCTTCTTCTCAGCTCTGCAGTTCCCTCTGCTCATACTGGTTCTGGTGTCTGATCTGCACAATTGTGTCATGGTTATTTCTTGTCAGTTTTACAGTATGAAAATCCCATGTGCTGGTTGTCTGATTAGCCAGTCGGAGAATACGGCCTTGCAAAATTGCTGCCTGATAGCTTGTCTATAAGTAAACATTAATTACAGGTTAGAATTATCCTGCCGTTTCCTTGAAATGCAGATAATCTCTCAGCTGCTTACAACTTCAGAGGGTAAAACACTGCAGGAAGTTATGAAAACAAAGTAAAATGAGACTGAATCCAGTGAAAGGGAAGATGCACCTATTGTGTATTCCTACGTGTCCAAATAACTGAAATGTGTAGTGTACTGCTGGTATACAACTTTCACCTCTAAATAAAGATAGAATTCACAGTATATCATTTAAAGTATTGGTCTGTGCCAAGAACAATAGCTATATATGTGTGTATGGATTTATGCAAGGGTGCATGTGTGAATCTGTACATATGTAATATGTTTTCTGCGTGAGTGTATGAACCCAAAGTATATGCTGAAAATTTGTCATTCAGGAAAGAACATTGATGTCCCTCAGTAGATACCCAATTAACCAGTAGCTCAGTGAAATAGGCTATTTTACAAGATTAGTGATTAATTAACTTTTCATGTGCAGGTGATAGAGATATATGATTAAAACATCATATGGACTATGGGATGGAGTGAGGAAATTTCAAAACAATGTCTAAACCTGTAATCTTTATTGGAAACAAATGTAAACTTTAAGGGCTAAAATTTTGTAGCAAGTAAGGAATTGCAGTTGGAGAGTAAATTATGATGACTTCCAAATTAAGATTTTCTGTGATATGTGATATATTTTATAAAGATGTGCACTAAAATAAACATAAATTATTGTGCGTGTGTGGGAGTTATTGAAGTAAAATCTATGGTATTCAAAGTACAGAATAGGATTAAGTGACCATAGTAACTCCATAAAATCTGTGGAATACACAATCTGTAATTTGTTAATAAGAAAAATAAAATAGAAAATATTGTTAAGACTATTTTGAAGTTTAAAATAGAGGTACATTGTAACTAAACTCATATTTCAAATTGCAAAATAATGAAATGATCTTATAGAAGAAATGTGGAAGAATGTAAAGCATTAGGCATCCCTGTTTGTTTACCACTCTCTGGCTCACACCACAGAACTAAAGCATGGTTTCAGAGCATGCAATCTGGATTCCTGTCATGCAAAACTAAATAGGAGTGTGTACTTCAACATCTCAGGTAATGCCTTCAGCCACTAATGGACAATCAACCTATAGGACCAGATTAACTAAAGCTAATAATAATAAACCCCTTTAGTTTAGCACCTAGTGTGGATCTTGAGTCCTAGGCAGCAGCTGTTTCAGTCCATAGCACAGATCCATGACTATTACTCCCCACTACTCCCTAAGAAAGAAATAGTCTGTATTACCTGTGGATTGGAGGAAGGTTTTATGGTTTGTTTTTTTTTTCATCTGTAGCTTAATTTTTTTTCAAGAAGAGGCTATGGAAAATTCTGCATTGGGCTGAATCATGAATTTGATACTGGAGATTAAGCTGAGGGACAATACTTTCTCATCATTGCTGGAAGGAAGACAACAGAAACTGTATCTTGTGTATCTTCTGGTTTTTTGTCTCTTGCAGCTTTATGCAATGGAGAGACAGGAATTTTTGTCAGGATTCCAGAACTCACAATACTGCTATATTTCTACTGAAATTTCTCCAGAAATGCATTGATCAGAACAGATTTCACTCTCCTCAGTTTTGCTGGTCATCTCTGACTCTCAGACAATACTTCCTGCTCTAAAAGTTGTGATTATGTTTTTAGACATAGTTAGTAGATAGAAAGTAATGGCCACATGTTAATGCCAATGTTTCATACATTTATTGCATTTCACTGGAGCCTGTACTTACAGAGGTCATCATGAGGAGTCATCTAAATTAAAGTCTTAGTCTTTGAAGTATCAGTGCACAGTTCTCATTGAAAATCACATCAGAATTAAATATTTATATTAAGAAATTTTCAAGTGAGTTAGCCATAAACATTTTTTGGTCAATAGGTTGTGTATCTTCCAAGTCTGTTTCACGTATTCTAGGAGACACAAGTCTGAGGGGAAGTGCACCTCTCTTGCCAAAATGATTACTTTTTCATCTCAACAACAGTTCTCTGTAAGAAGGTTTCATTCTATTTCATTTCCAATATCTCTTTTCATCCTTTATTAATAGGTTTTTCACGCTGTCCAGTCTGGCTCATCTTTTGAACTGCTACAAAATCAAAATGCACTTTTTTATATAAAAATAAAACACAACAAAAGGAACTGTATTTGTTGAAGAAATATTTTAAGACCAAGTAAATGATACTTTGACATAAGGAATTACGTATTTGTATTCCAAAACTGAATAGTGGTTTTATCAATAATCTTTTTTCTAGCATATTTTTCTTCTTTGTTGAATCCTTAAATTCTTATTATATTAATAACATGCAGTTTATGTATTCCAATGGATACCTTAAATATGAAAATATGTTGCATCAACTGAGATATGTCAACAAAGAGCACCACAGAATAGTTTGTTAAACACATACATAACGTTTATATGTTTTATGCCACTATAGATCTTAATTTAGTCCTCATTTTCTCTAACTAAAGTTTTGCTAATTAGGTAATTGATTATGCTGTGTTAATAATAAAAATATTCTTTGAGATTAGTTGAGTTTGTCAGATTGCCTCAAACATAATTTCTATAATACTCGATATCTATTTAAAATTAGTAAAAAATATTACACACTAATTTTCAGTCTAAAACATAATCCCTAGAAATCTATGTATTTAAACTGTATAATGTATAATTTTAACATCATAAATACTAAAACATTTCCATAAAATTACAGTAATAACTTTAAAAAATGAAAAGGATTATTACTTTAAGACTTCTGTAGTCCCAGAGTGCATTATCCAAAATTTCATTGGTAGCTTTTTATATTTAGAGCCATAGGAGCTGTTGGAAAAGAGTGAGACAACATCAAAAAGCTTCTTTTTCTTTATATACCGTTCTTCTTATCTAAAAATTAGAGGATACTGAAAGTATGTTTTCAATGAATACCTATGTTAAAATCTCTTTTCTTAACACCATTGCTCATGAAAGTTTAAAAACTTAACACATTATACTGAGATAGTAGTATAATGTGGTTCAAGGAACTCGTCATGCACCACAAATGAGTCAATAATGAACAGAGTGAAGTTTATGAATACATTTGTGATCTCACCTGAATAACTATCATGACACTCTGAAGACACAAGTTCTCTGAACTAGCCCTCAGCTGGGAAGGCAGCAAACCCTGCTATGTTTCAGTTTGTTGAAAGACATTGTAGACATTCAAACAGTATTTTTTTCCAAACATTATTTTATTAATTGAAGTGAGAGCACAATAGGATGAATACCTGTGATCTGGTTTGAGCTGTTAAGGTGCCTACTCTGAGAAAGGCATTTAAATGAACTCATTTCATTTTCCATGGCCTGAGTATTCACATAGTAAGGTTTTGCATTTCAGCTGAAGGTTCAGTAATTGGAAACTGAAAACTACTAACTCTTTCCTTAACTGTTCCAAATAGATTATAAGCACTCATCTGTGTAAACCAAGTACTGCTGTTCTTTTGCATTTGTATACATGAGCTGGATCACCGTCTGGATCTCTGAAATGTAAAAAATGGATCTAAGCCCATCAGCTATTTTCAAAACAGATTCTTTGATGTTCTTTTTGTTTGCAGTTTGAGAAAAGAAAATAAGAATTTGAAAGATAAAAATAATTAGTTATGTAGAAATAGGTTGCAAAATACCCACATCATTTTGTACATGGCAAATATGGGATCATTATGGGATCAGTAAGTGTGTGACCAATATATACAAAGGTATTATTGTCATAGAGAAAGGAACATTACATCCTCTTCTGTGAACGTGCAGAGGAGAGCCCTGAAATAAATACTAACTTTTTCAAGGTAGCAACATTCCTTTCCACACAAAATGGTGTAAGCCAGTATTGAATATTATGGAGAACATCTTGTTGCTAAATTGTGTAAGCTCCTTAATACCAAAATATAAAACGAACAAAAAAAAAATCACAATGTTAACAGTGACCAAAAATAATGAGTACAACTGCTCAGTTTGTGGACCTGTATCAGTTATTTCTGATTCCCATTAACAGATATCTTCAGTAAAAGAAATGTTTTTACCTCTCATTACTGTTCTCAGCAGAGAAAATGACTGCAAAGACAGAAAGGATTTTTTTCCAATTTAGGATTGAATTATGTTTTATAGCAGGAAGTTTATATTGTCATGGTCCTGAGTTTTACTTGTATGAACAGACTATAGATTCCAATGATTTTAGTTCAAACAGCTTTTTCTTTTAATATAGTTTTATATAAAATTTCATGTACCTAATACATTTTTAAGAACAGGAATTACAAACTAGATTATCAGTTTAATATCTACTTTCTAAATGCCAGACTTTATTTTTTTTTTTTTTGTGTTTTTATAATACAATGTTATTGTAAAATTATGGTAGTGAAAATTATTACTGATGCACAAAACATGCCTTATAGAGAAAAAAAATAAGTATGCTTTATAAATTCCTTAGAATGTGTTAGCTTTCAGCTTTCATATAGTATAAAAATACATCATTGTAAGAGTCTTCAAAGAATAATTTTTACTTAATGAGATTCTTACATGAAGTGATCAGTTACATCAGTAAGTTTTTAAACATGCAGAGGTTGACAATATTTTGAAGTAGTGCCATTGCCATTGTTGAATCCCACATTTCCTTATTACCCTATGTACTGATGTTTAGTTGCTGAACAGTCCTGACTTCACAACTAGTTCGGGTGTAATTCTTACAGCAGGCAAAGAGAGTAACTGAGCTGCTTATACTTGATGTTACACATATTTCTATATTCCTGGATCTTCCTGGGTAGATGCAATGAAGAATAATTTATTTTTCTTTTTGATGACCAAGAAAAGAGCATACAGTCTCTTGGCAAACTAGCTTCTATTGCAATAGAAGAGATACTTTATTAAAAATAGCAGATTAAGTGAAATTTGATATAAATATTTACTCTGTGTGTGTGTGTGTGTGTGTGTACATGAATGGAAGAGTAGAATCAGACCTGTGAAGGACTGAATGCAGGTGAGCAGTTATACTTTGCACTGGTTTTCCTGTGTTTTGCACTTGGTGTGGTATTGGCCAGCATCCCCTGGAACAGATGCTGTGAAAGAAATGTGGGGGTTCTCCCAGTTTGAATTAGGTAGGCTGTAATTAGGAGTGAGACTGCAGGTGGAAATGAATGGGTCTGAGCCAGGAGATAGTGGAAATTTAGAGAAGACTTTGAGTTGAGACTGCAGATTGTTGGGAAGTGTTTGTTGCCACCCTGATTATTTCTTTCCTTTTCCTTTACTCAGGAAAGAAGGTTTTTCTCCTTATATAACAGTTGTTCCAAAATAATATACCACTTGCTTGTCCACAGACAAACTGCTGGTACCCAAGAGCTTTCTAAAACATATCAATACAGTGTGCCTATGTACAGTGTACACGGAAGTTCTATGTGAATCTAAAAACAGATTTTATGTTCCTTAGAATGTCTAAACTTCTCAATTTTTCACAGCTATAGGTTTAGACTCTTGTCCTGAACCACAGACCCCAAGCAATGGGATCAAAATTGGAGACAGATACATGGTTGGAGATGTGGTGTCTTTCCAGTGTGATCAGGGTTATTCTCTGCAGGTGAGCCAAGTTTCCAATTTCAAATGGTGCCCTTTAGTTCTTTAACATGGTTAGGTTTGAGTCTGTCGGTATGAAATGGACACTGAACTCTTCAGGAGTTATGAACACATGATAAGCTTGCAGGACTGGTAGGCTTTTCTGCAAAATATTAAATTAGTAACTATCCAAATATTCCATCAGAAGTGTTTGGCTCTGTGCTTCCTCTGCATTAGTGATTATTGGTTGTTATCTATTACTGATGGCATCTTTGGTATTCATAGCTGAGCTATGCAGTGTTGGCAAATTAAGTTAAATCACTTGATCAGCAATTATCAATAGTTGTCTATGTACAGGAGGAAAAAGAAAATAAGTGAAGAGGGGGAATAAGAACAAACAAAGGGAGAGGAAATAATTGTTTTTCTCAGTAAATCAGATATTGTCAGTTATTTTCTTTCAGTAATTTCTTGGGGGGTTTTATCCAAAAAAGTTTTCAAATATGGGTGTATTTTTGCCAAGCAAATTTGCTATGCTCTTGCATTAGCAAAAGGTATAAATAGGGGCAAAGCTGTGATTGTAAACTGTGACTAATTTGCCTCTTTGAGTTACTTAGCATATATAACCAGTAGGAATCTGTCTGCCTACAGGAAAAATCTTGAAAATATTTTCAAATTTTTGTACAGTTACACTGTAGAACCAAATCCAAAACAGTATTGTTTCCACTTGAGACACTCCCCGAAAGAACTAAGGTTCCAACTGATAGGTTACTAGTTACTATAGGTTATTTTCAATGATTTTTTTTTCTCATTTGTGACTCTACAGTCTCCACTTTATCTAGCTCTTTGAGAGCATAAAAAGAGAGAAAACAATCACATTACCTATGCATAGTAAAAAGAAAAGTCTTAAAGGGAGAAAATGTTTTGTATATAACAGCACATGATTAACCGCTAATGGAGTTATTGATACATTTGGAATAAAATAGCAAAAGGATAACTTACCTGCCTTTCTTTCTTCATTAACATCAGTCTGGCCTGTAACACATGTTGATGAGTGTCAGACTAACTAACTGTAGTTTTAAAAATGATAATAATTTCAAACATTTATTTTACATAATTCTGTGAAGACCTAAATACTGGGGTCATATTACTGCATTAAAAATAGAAATTGAATTACTTTTTTGGACTAAAAAATATTTTTAAAAAGCTGCAGTTTATGTATTGTGATAGAAACTAAATAAACTTGTCTGCTTCCAGATCTCAACTGCCGTTTGGATTTGGGACCTGTATCCCAGTTTCCCCTTCAAGACAGAGTTCCTAGTCATGTCTGCAGCCTTCTAGCATTTCAAGAATAACTGAAATGTTCTGTGATTGCAGCTCTGACAATGACTATTGAAATTTACTTCTTATGTTCCCTGATTTTAGCTGGTCATTCTTGGGAACAACCTATCAATTACTTTTTTCTTCTTCGCACTTAAATACAAGTGTGTAAGCAGACAAGCCACAGTAAATGGCTGAAATAAAGAAAATATAAAGAACATTGAAGCATAGACTGTGCAAACACACATGTAAAACCTCTTCACTCCATATTGTTTTTCTGGCTTATACAGTATGACTTTGCCACATCAGTTGTGTTTTTTTTTCTTCTAGCAATGAGCAGATATACCTACTTGCATTATGGAGAAAGCGTGTTTATTTTTCTTCTAGGAGAGAAAAAGAATGGGTTGCAGATTGATGAGTAAACTATTTGCAGTTACCCTGGATGCTTTAGAGATACTTGGTTCTCTCAAATGCTACAGGTTCTGAATTGATAAGGAGATTTAACATGAAAAACTAACTTTTCTCTTCATATGAAGGTTGAACAAACAGGCTAAAAGCTACTGAATTCTTTCTTGGTCATCTTAAAGTGTATACTGTACGGTTTTGCAAGATATCCCAAGTACAGTTTTCTCTTCAGATTTTTCATTTTCGTTTGCTGTCTCTGGAAGACAGTTACAATTACATGAGGCTGATGAAAAACACAGAGGGCCACTCTGGTGGGTCTTGGAAGTTATCTGTAACAGATTGCCTTGAAATCATAACACCTCATCTGTTGTAAAGGGACACATGTTGTAAAGAGATTCCTTAAATATCTCAGCTTTTGGCAACTTAAGCCAACTGTTTCAGGGGTGAGGATAAGGACTGCATTTAGAATACGTATTATGAATTTAAGATGTAGAGTCAGTACTGTATAATGTATATAGTTTGTATCTTTTTATCATGTTCTACAAATGATGCAGATCAATGCTATGTAAACATTGCTTCAATTAGACCTTTAGTTTCTACACCCTTGGTTTATACTAAAGCTGGTATTAAAGAATTCAGCTGGATACTGTTATACTGTTAGAAATAATATTAAGGGCATAGACACAATTCTCTAGTGGGCTAACAGTCACATAGTTAAGATTACAGATTACACTCTTCTCTGTTATTTGAAGGGTATGATACAATTCACAGTGTACAATATAAATGTTATAGCTTATTGTTTTTATATATTTTGATGATGTTTTCAATTATAAATTATTTTTGTTGAGTTACTAATGATTTGCCACATATTGTATATTTTTTATTATATGAATTAGCAAATATTGTGTCATTTTAGGGACATTCACATATCACCTGTATGCCTGGACCAGTAAGAAGATGGAATTATCCAATTCCAATATGTTTAGGTATGTTCAGCATACATAAATTTTCTTAAATATGCCAGAATGAGAAAGCCAGAGAACTCAAAAATGAGAGATAAGTATAGGGGAAAGAATAGGGAGAACTGTAAGAACTTAATTAAAAATGAAAATGGTCAAATTTAGGTGAGGATTTTCAAAGTATACTTCACACTTATTTTGGCAAAGCTTTTATGAAATGTCCAATCAGAAGAAGAAAGAATGAAATATGTTCTAGTCAGAATCTATCATCAATTCACTATCAGTGATGAGAACTCCAGAGACCCTTGCAAACATAGTTAGTTTATTTATGAGTCATTTCCACAGCAGTGATGACTATTATAGAAAATACTAAAATAGAAATAGCGTTACATTTTCATCTCTAGTAAGTTCAACATAAGGCATGCCTGCCCAATTTAAGAAGACACATTATTTTCAAATTAGACTATATACATGACCATATTAATAGTATTGGAAGCAGCACTGGAATCCTGCCAGAAGCCCAAATGAAACATCTGAAGTGCATTTAAACATATTCTCTGTATATGATGAATAAATGTGAGGGATGTAAAACTCATTCTGTCTGCATTCTCTTTCACTGAATAGAACTGCCTTTTTGTTTGGGTTCCCTAACAGTAGAAGTTATCTGTATTTGTAATCTTGAATGTATGGAAAGTAGGATACTGCAGATCTCATTAAAGATTTTATACTTTGCTTTTCTTCAATACAGATTATATATCCTGTTGAGCTGCCTCACACAATCCTGTTCTTAATCCTGTGTGGTGTTGAAAACCTCCTATGAGGTTCTGAGCTCCCTTAGCTTAGAATTTATAAATATTCAACAAGATTCAGATATTTGTAAGAATTTTTTTAGGAGTTAGTCTTCAGTCTCCATTATTATGCATTAATATATGTCTAGGAAGTCTGATACGATAATTGCACTGCTCTATGGTAAATTCTGAAGACAAAGATGCTGTGCTGAAATTTTAAGGGTTTTTATTTTCCTTTTTTTCTTCTTTTTTGCAAGTAATGATTTTTAATTGTGTTTCAAAGGATGTAGCAACTGTTAATTGAACAAACCTATTAAACAAAATTGTATTTACCATAATTAACATCTTCAAATCTAATATTGAAGTGTAAGTTACTTTATTCACTGAATTCACTTTTTATGCATGAAAAAAATTAAAATGGAGTTCAAATATGGATTTAGTTCAATTTTTGAAAATATGTGTGTGTACATGTTTTAAGTCTGTTTATTTTATCTCATTTTTATAACAGCAGGACACAAATGCAGTTTTTAAAAGGCCTCTTGAAGTGCTTTGAGTACAGAATATTTTAAAAATACATTATTATCTTATATTATTCAGATGCTCCTTTACAAACTGATGTGGAATTGTGTCAATGTTGCTATGAGCTGATGTGTGCCACTTGCCTGTTCACAAGGGTGGTTCATGCAGACAGAATGCAGAGTAGACATCTATTCTCTTTTCAGGTGCATGTGTCCCCCAGGTTAAAACCTAGTCAATTCAGAGTAGATACATATGTTTAAAGCACCTACTTGTAAATTACTTTGTTACAGATATTTAGTGGTAAAGGAATGTTTGTGTATTTTTTGAAACATAAACCTAGTTATTATTATATTATTAATGTTGGAAGGATCTCCAATGATCTGGATTAATTTTTAGCTCATTCTACTCCTCTGAAAAATGTCTTTGCTTTTTTTTGCAGCACAATGTGGTGGTGGCATGTCAGACTTCAGCGGAGTGATCCTCAGCCCTGGGTTTCCTGGCAACTATCCTAGCAGTTTGGATTGCACATGGACAATAAAGCTGCCTATTGGTTTTGGTATATGTTCTTTCACGGATTAAATTTGTTGGGTTTTTTATGGATTCAAAACACTGAACGTAGATTTTAAAATATTGTGAATATTTATTCTGGCAAAAAAGGGAATTATAATTCATTTAAAGAAGTTATGAAAGCCTTAAAAGAAAGATATAGAATAGAAAAACTACAAGGTTCTTGTTTTTTCATTTAACATATACTACAAATCTCTGACAAAGACAAAGTTGTTTAATTCGAATTAAGCACAATTTTCTAACTTAAAAAGCTTGATTTCTCTTTGTGCGGTCATAAACCCAGCAAAAATGAATAGCTACACAAATATTTTGAAACCAAGTCAGTATCAGTTTAGAAGAAGTTAAAGCTACATTTGAGTTCATTATTTTACCATTAAGCTTTTTTACGTATCCTAGGTGAATATCGGCGCAGCATAGAAATGTTCTTGGGAGGGGCCTCTAGAAGCCTCTGACGCAAAACTGTCAAGCTTCCCACTCAAAGTGAAGTTGTCAGTAACACTAGATCAAGTCCACTATGACTGGCAGATCCTTCTCAGCAGGGCTGCTACTCACCTAATCAATTCCCAGCCTGTACCAACAGATAAGGATGTTATGCTCCAGATGCAGAACTTTGCACTTCTTGTGCAAACCTTTAGGAAGGGTTTGTTTACACAGCCCTCAAGTTTTTCAGTGTTTTTCTGTACAGTTGCACCATTTGGCATATCATCCATGTCCCCTAGTTTAGTATCCTCCACAAATTTGTTGAGGTTGCATTCTCATTATCCAGGTCTCTCATGAAGACATTGAATAGTGTAAACTGCCATATCAACCCATAGAATATTGTACTTGTTACTGGCTACCAACTGGACGTTGAATGACTGATTATAATCCTTGGAGCCTTGAAGTTCCATTAATTTTTAACCTACTTCCTCTCCATTCATCAAGTTCATATATGTTCAGCTTCCAGTTGAGAATGCCATAGAAGACTGAGTCAAAAGAAATAGCAGAATGAGAGTATATTATATCCACCGTCCTCCCTTTGTCAATTTAATCACAAAAAGAAATAATAGTTGATCAACTGTGATTTTCTGTTAGTAAATCCATGTTGACTGCTCCTGAGTCCCTTTTTGTCTTTTATGTGTTTGGAAACTGCATCCTGTTAGACAAGTTCCATAATCTTTCCATGGACTGCAGTGAACCTGCAGTTGCCATTGCCCAGGTCCTCTTTCTTGTCTTAAGGGTGGATATATCTTCAGACTTTTTCTGGTCACCAGAACTTCTCTCATTCATCATGATTTTGCATAGGTAATAGCAGCATTTCAATTACATTGGCTAACCCCTTGAGCAACTTTGGGTGGATCCTATATATCTATCATTGCAAAATCTTTATTCAAAGCTAGCCAATACAGTTGTCCCATCTAATTTTTTATACTTGTGGCACTTTTGTAGGAGCATGTGCACTTGGATTTTTTTCTTTATATGCTAGTTGAATGGCATGCTGTTTTTTCAGACATGCCTCACCGTTTTCTATTTTATATTTGCCATCTTCTGTCATCTTCTTTACTTAATGATAGAGAATTTCTGGGTCTTCCACAGTAACTGAATGTGACATGCCAAATAGTTTTCCCTTCTGCATCTGTTCAGATTCTTTCTCTCCTCTTTTTAAAATCAGTTCTGTGATCTGTTTGATTATAAGTCCCGTGAGCCTGGTTTAGTTGCCATTTAAATGAAAGCCAATTGTTGTGCATGGCTTGTTTAAACTGAATAATATTAAACGTTCAGTAACACTGACTTAGCAGAATCTATCTGTGGGAAATATATTATGTCAGGATAGGGATTTCCATATAGAACCTAATTGTTATGTTTGCATTTTGTTCAGAAGTCACAATATTCAAGTCAATAATTGATTTTTTATATTAGCATTCTATAGACATAGCATCAAAACTTTAATTCTGCCATTACCTGAATTTTAGACAGCTTGATGTGACAGCTTCTAGTGATTCATCATGAGTCATAATGCTGTCTAGAATCTTCAGATCCCGTGCAGATCCTTGCTAGTTTTCCAGTTCATGTACAGGAAAACTAAATGCTCCTTTTTCTAATAGAAAACTAAAACTGCACACATTGAAATGTGCTTGACATTTTTGACCATTTCCAAACAGGATACGATTAAAACTGAATAGAAAATTAAAGTAAAATTTCATTGTAAAAATGAAAAAAATGACATTTGAAAAAATGATGGCTAAAACTGCTTTTAGTGATGCTGTGGTTCTAGTCCAGTGGAGGCACATACATCTAACTCTTCTGAGTAGTAAATAGAAAAACTCAAAACCACCATAGTGGGAAACTTCTGTAGGCTTTCAATTGTTTAAGTGTTTCTAACAAGATTTTTTTGTGGTTGGAAGTTACGGATCATAAGCTTTTCCACTTTATGTTAGCTAATGGTGTCATCTAAACCAATGACACTATGTTGATTTCTATCTACTTACAAGGTTACTTTATACGATTTGTTGCTATTCTTTCTGAGATTTATGGTTACATTTTATATCTAAATATATAAAATAGTCATTCAAGTGGGGTGTCCAAACTGCAAAAAGCCATAGAAAAAAACAGTTCAAAAAGCAGAAGTCTGAGACAAGCATAGACAGGTGCTACAGGCTGAGCAAAGGATTAACACTTTGGAAGATTGATATTGTTCAGGAACTTGTAGTGAAAGACAGTAGAGTACAGAGAGGAGAATGATGGGAAAAAATATATTAGAGCTGGTTTTGTATCGAACAAAGTAGGTGAAAGAGAAAAACATTGACAGTAAGACAGCATGAGTTGGCAGTTATTAATGACAGCTTAAACTTTGGACAAGTGTTTGGTTCACAGGATCAAATAAAAGGCCAAGCCTGCAAATATTATGGCTAGAGAAAGAGCAAAGTGTGGATATAGCTTGATTCTCTGTGTAGGAAATATTTGGAAGGCTGGCAAAGTCAAATAATGACACTTATAAGCAGAAGCTTTCTTATCACATATAGACTATCTTCAGATAAAGAGAGACAGAAATGATCAAGGTAACAGTAATTTAATTATGTGCCAACCTTTTTTCCTGTAGCATATAAAATGTTACATGCTTCAGAAAACCATTCATAAACTTTACATGGTATCTGGGGAGAAAGCTCTAAAACACAGCGACAAACACTATTTAGCTATTGCAGTTTAGGAGTTACAAAATTATTCATGACTTTTCAATAATTAATCTGACATTATATCTTTTCCTTTCAATTTTATATGAAATGATGTTGATTGTCTTTGCCAGAAACACCAGTGGGACTCAATCATCTCTTCTTAATGAAAGTACTCCATTATCATTCCATAGTTGCAGTAACTCCAGACAAAATACAAATTCTACTTTGATATAACTTACGTAGAAATATGTATAAACAGGACAATGTTTAAAGAGCCCTATAACTACTCAGCTGCTGAGCATTTTCTTCTTGTCCTGCCACATAATCGTTGTAATACATCACCTGGTTAGGAGAGATAACTTGCTAATGGATAGTAAGCTACCTTCCTGTTCCTTACTGAATCAAATAATCAGAAATTTCTGTCAGCAAGATCGTCATATGGCACAGTGTGTGTATGAGAATTAAATAATCGAACTGCATGTTTAGTGGGAAAGGTACTGATGAATGATGGTTAGATAATATCATTTACTTTTTTTGTGACACAGAAATAATATATATGTTAAGTAATGTAAGGAGTGCGGCCACCTCCTCCAGCCACTCCAGCTCAGGACCCTCCTGCCCAGCCACTGGAGCCCAGCCTGGTGCCCAGGGACGCAAGGTCTCTGCCCAGGCTGAGGGACATGGCTGCCACTTTCCCATTTGCAGATTCAAACAGTAATGAGGCCTAGCACAGACACACACACGCAGAGGACGCTGATATGGCTGGTCACACAGGTTGCCACAGAGAAGATGTTGCCTTCAACAGCACCTACATACAGGACTCGCATAAATCACAAGCACAGGCAGCCAAGACCCCTCCTCTTCTTGGGCTGGCAGAGACAGAAGGTCACTAGTGCAGGCACACACACAACACTCTCTAGGTTCACAAGCACACACACATTTGTGGATCCCCTGAGTGTCCACCCGGCACCGCTGTCTGGATCTCGGGCCTCCTTATCTGCTTCACTGGTCCCTTACTCACTGGCTGGTCTATCTTGATGTTCGCTGCAAACACACTGTGTTCACACAGTCATCCCTCATGCACTCCCCATTCACAAGTCCCCCTGGGTGTATCAGCATGGACTGTCTGCTTGCCTGATACCCTGGCCTGGACCCAGGGCCTTCCTACTCACTGGCTAGTCCGGTTTAAAGTTTCTTAGCAGATGACACATACACACCCAAACACACTGGGATTGGGGAAGATATAGACACTTGCCTGCCCAGCAGCCAGCACCAGGCACACAGGCTGTGACCCACTGTCCCGCTCCAGCTGCCACCACTGAGCTCCTTAGTCACCTTACTCACACTGGTCTCCCCAGTAATTGGTTTTGAGAACACACACTGTTCCCACCCCAGTGGCTGGAAGTTAAAGAGCCTCACACTCACTTCAGGCCAGGGGCACCAACACCCCTGCTCTGACTCCAGTAGCTGGCACTCAGTTCACTCACACTGGTCCCCCCATTAGCTGGCATTCTGGGCACAAGGTCTGTAGAATCACAGAATCATAGAATCACAGAACAGTTTGGGTTGGAAGGGACCATTAAAAGTCATCTAGTCCATTCCCCTTCAATAAGCAGGGACAACTTCAACTAGATCAGGTTGCTCAGGGCCCCTGTAGGACCCTCCCTAGATCCAGAGAGCTATGGCCTGTCACTCAGTCCAGTAGCTGACACCACAGGCTGCAGTGTGCCCACACCCCTGGTCTGGCTCCAGCAGCTGGCACCAAATTCCACTCACAGATATGGGTCTCATCAATAGCTGGCACTTAGTCCTCGCAGCTCACATACACATGGGATAGAGAGTGAAATTACAGAGAGACAGTTAAGAAAAGATTTAATAAGAAGATATGAGATGATAGGACAGACTGGTGATCAGGTGCAGGGCTCAGCCAGACCCACCCCATTTGACATGCAACCAGCCCTTTTTTTGCCCTTTTCTGCCTGCCACCATCTTTGTTCCTCCCTGCTCCCCTTTCCCTTGCACATCCCCTCAGAGGTGTGTATAGGTCTATCAGTTCCTGTACCCCTTCCAGTATGGGGTCCCCCTGGTTTACAATATTAGCAGTTGCAAAGACCAGATTGATCTTCCTGGAAGTTGTGCCTGTAGTTTCTTGACAGCCCATCAATTAGTGTGACTGGCAAGGTTTGTTACTTGTCATTGGCTCCATGTTTGCTTTGCCAGGTCTGTGTCTTTGTGTATTTTGGTTTCTGGTTCCCCCTTTTCTGTTGGTTTCCTAATTGATAAAGTCCCTGATCAGATAACCTCACTGGAATAAATATACTCACATTCTCACTCAACCTCATCAATTAGTGTGATTGACCAGGTTTGGTTCTCATCACTGCCTCCCTCAGGTTTGTGTCCCTGTATGTTCTTGTTTATAGCTTCCTCCTTTTCTTATTTTCCCTTGCTCCATTGAAAAATGTCTTTGACCAGATACCCTTAAAGGAGCAGACACTCTCCTTCCACATACCTTTACAATATATATAATCCATATTATAAGTGTAATTTTTACTGTGCCTCATTATTTTTTATATATATATTAATATATATATAAGCTAGAGAGTCAGTTTATGCAGGTGTGGCACACAAAGCATTTTATCTTTTAATAGAACTGGAGACTATTTTATGCAATTGAAAACAGGAAAGATTTAACTAAATTGAATGTATTCAATGTTCAGAACTGAAATTTGCCCTAAGTGCACAAACAACAAAATTTGCCAAAAAGTGGCATATAAATAATCTACAGTTCAATGCCTTAGATCATGTTAGTATTTCAGTGTTAGCATTTCTTACCTTGCCAGCCTCTCAGAATTAGTAATGCATGAGGAGAAAGAATGCTTCAAACTGAAGTCCATGGACTGCATCTGGGAGGGTAACACATGCATTTCCACTGGTTACATTATTTTCTGATATTATCAGTGTAAAATGTACTTACTTTATTTTCCCTCCTGGTATTGATACTGGTGGCTTTTATTTACTGACGATGTTTTTCAGGTGTCCATTTGCAATTTGTGAATTTCTCAACGGAGACCATACATGATTACTTAGAAGTTAGGAGTGGATCTACTGAAACTAGCACTGTTATTGGGAGACTAAGTGGCCCTCAGCTACCGGCCTCTCTGTTCAGCACTACTCATGAAACCAGCTTATACTTTCACAGTGATTACTCGCAGAACAAACAAGGATTTCATATTGTATATCAAGGTGAGAATTTGACATTCTTATGTGAGAACAAGGCGGCTGTTGAAGGTTATTTCTTTTTTTGGCATTCCTAAAAGATAAACATGAAATAAAAGATTTTGTGTGTTCCAAACCAAAGTGTTATGCATCAAAATCAAACAGAAGAATGCAGAAAATTAAGAAGAAAAAGGAAAAATAGTTGCATATTCTCTTTAAAAAGCAGTTCAAATGTAGGCACACAGATAATTTCCCATATCTGAATTTGGTTGGCATATTAATTTACATTGCATGGCTTTACAAAGTAAGCATCTCTATTGTTCAATCTTTATAAGCATATGGGGATCTCAATTTTGTGTCTTGGGTTCTGGAAGGGGAAGATCTAAATATTGTTTTAGAGTACTGGATCCATGTAGGTTAGTACAGGATAATGCCAACTCAGAAATCTCTAAATCCTTTTTATTTTCTAGTTGGCAATACTGCTGGAAGGTTCTTGTTCTGTTGTACCCAAATAGGTCATGCTGAGCTGATGAAGACTGCAGGATCATAATTCTATTTATATAATTGCAGATTCATTTAAAAGGGATTAGATCACCACTGTTCACAAAAAAAGGTCAAATGTATATTTTAAACTCTACCTGTTTTCATGATATGAGTAACGTCAAAGGATGATCTAAAGAGTTTTTACTTTAGAGCAGTCTCCTATTACTCTTTCAGTAGTAACAAGTCCAAATTTTCTTGAACTCTATGTAACATTCTGGAAGTGAGCCACTGTAAAAAGTGTTAGCTTTTAAAGAAAAAGTCAGTTTATGACTTAAATTGCCTGGTAAGATTTTATTCACTTCTTATTTGGAATATGATACAATTTGTAGGAGTAAGGGAACTTTAAAATGTACTGCTAAGAGGGCAGTAAAAGACTTAAGAGCGTATACTATTACTGTTATTAATAGTAACAGTAATAATTTTGGAGACACTTATTTGTCAAAGAATTAAAAAAAAAATTCCTGTCTGTGTTTAACCACATGAGAACTGTTTCTTTCAAACATACACAATCTGTGATCTTCTGATTTTGCAGATTTTGCATAGCGTATTTGTTCTCAGTTCTGTAATAAGAAGTCAATGTTTCAAATCTTCTTGGAAAAGATCACCAAGATGTGTGAGAGAGGCTTTTTTTCAAATCTTACTTGTTTGCTATAAAAGCTTTGATATTCGCAGTTCATTATAGAGCCTTTTAATTCTGAGAAAAACAAGTAAAATTATAGACAGGTTTATTTCTCCTCTTCCTTAAACATAAGAATGTAAAAACAGAAAAGATCTATTGGATCAGAAGAAAGCTCCATCTAGCTCAGTATAGTATTTCCAGGTTGCAAAAAGAAATGCTACTTAGCAGCACAGAAGCCTCGCTAGTTTCTTTTGTACTCTCCCAGCATCCACAGTTGTTGTCAAACCTAATTCTATTACTGTGGGATTTGATGGCATTTTCGCATTTAGCCTTTCTACTGTCTTAATGATTTTTGTGAACTTCAGTCATATCATCCCCAATCTCTTTCCCAAGAAACCACGCTTAGCCACGTGCTCAGTAATGTTATTCATTATTATAGGCTGTATCATATTACCAGGTGTAGAAGTCAGACTCACTGAACTGTAATTTCAAGAATCCCCTCTAAAGATAGAAGAGATTTACATTAGGACATCACCACTCCTGTAGATCAGATCTTGAAATTATATGATAAATATCTTTGTTCAGCAGCTCTTCTGGGTGAAAACCATCTGTTCCTGATCCTTTGCCTTACCGATTCAGTGTAGTACTTTTGTATTTACTTCAAATTGATATAGTGCCTTAGACCTGCGTAATACAAGCACCGTATCTTGTTTGGAAATCTCTACACCATCTTCAACAGAAGAGACAGCTACAAAGAATTTATTGAGTTTTTCTCTCTATGACATCCTAATCCATAAAAGTCTTTTTACTCAAGTAAAGACAGCTACAAAGAATTTATTGAGTTTTTCTCTCTATGACATCCTAATCCATAAAAGTCCCTTTTTACTCATTTGTCATGAATTGTCCCACCAGTTCCCTAGCTCACTTCTTGCTTCTGATGTTGTCAAATAATTTTTTTATGATCAGCTGAGACATCTTCTGCAAGGCATTTTTCAAATTATTTTTGCTCTCTTTATTTTCTATTTAAATTTGACCTATGTTTTATGACTTTTTCGAAAGGCAGACTTTCATTATTTAAACGCCAACCTTTTCCCTATTGTAGCTTCTTTAACTTTCCTACTGAGTCACACAGGCATTTTTCTGAACCACTTTAGTGGTTTTTTGTTGTGAATTGTAGAACATGTTTTACTTGATCTTTAAGGTAGTGTCAATTAGCAGATTCCAATCTGCATTACCTCATTTTTGTATAATTTCCTTTCCAGAATATTGAATATCCCTGTGCTGAGTTTATTTGACTTCCTCCCTCCCAGTACAATCAAACCGCATTATGACTGCTATTATGGAACAGCTCTCCCATGAATACTTCTTGAATTAATGCTTGAGTACCAAGCTGGTTCAAATCTAAAGTAATATCTTTACTTGTGGGCTCTCAAACTGCTTGTTCCAGGGAACAATTATTTTCTGCATTCAGAATTTTATTTCTTCAAGTCATCCTGGTGAGGTGGATACTTGGGTACTCTATTACTACTACCTGTTGTATTTTTGCAGCTTCTCTAATTTTGCTTAACATTTCCTGCTCACTATCATTTTCCTGTTTAGACATTTGCAGAAGCTTAGTACTACACTTATATTTCTGGAGTTTTAATTTCCACCTATGAGTATTCTATAGGGCTTCTTTTTTTCTGGTAATATTTTTCTTCTATGGCACTTAATATAATTTCTAAACAACAGTGCTGCTCTCCCACCCGGAAGTCTCTGCCCTCTCCGTCTTGGAAAGGTGGTCACCTGGCAACACTGCATCCTGCTGCTCTATGCCATGCCTTGCACTTCAGGGCTTTTGGTTGGTTCAAGCATTCTAGATCCCACCTCCTGTGTTTTAGGCTCCTACATTGGTGTAAAAGGACTTCTTAGTTTGGCCCTGTTCTGTTCCTTAATACTGTACGCATCACTCAACATGCAGTGTAGGCTACCTGATTTGCTTTTCCTATTTATTGTAATTCTGCTGTGTTATTCTCCTGCACTTTTTTTAGAGATGCATTGGCTGTTAACCTCCTCCCTGTCATGGCATCACATCAGTCTTCTGTACCTGTTAGTTTTTTCCCATGCTTCTAGTTTAGATACTCTTCTACAGCTTTTTTAATTTTCACTGTCAGCAGCTTGGATCCATTTTGATTAGGGTGTACTTAAGGGTGCACTTGGAAGCAATTTGTAGTCTTAAAGAGCTAGTCAGAGGCCTGCCTTTTTGAAGATCTAAGTGGAGAAAACACAAAGTCTAAATTGCTTTCTACTTTCTTCTTCTCTAGTGCAGTACTCCTGTACTTACTAAAATTAAAAGATAAAATTAAGAGGCTAGTCTCATTTTGCCTTCATGGACTCTGTTCCAAAAACCTGTAAGATAGGGTGTTGGTATATTTTTTTGTTTGTTTACACAGACACACACATATTATCAAAGTGTAAAGAACATAAAATCATTTAAACTCTAGTTGCAGTATTATGTTTTCCTTACGAGGTTTGGAATTGGAAATTTTTATGCATATTTCCAGAATTGCTGTGGGAATGTTTCACTGCGCTTCTCCTGGTGTAGGACCAATGATTTTGATTGTCACTGTGATGGAACTTAAGACATATGGGATGTCCATAATTTTTAAATTTTATTTTAATAATTTTATTTTAATGAAAAATTTTATTTTTGAAGTAGTAAGAATTTGCATTTTACTTCCCCCTACCCCCCTTATTATTATTTATTTATTTCAGCATATCAGCTGCAAAGCTGTCCTGACCCTCGACCATTTCGTAATGGTTTTGTTATTGGGAATGACTTTACTGTAGGACAAACTATTTCATTTGAGTGTTTTCCTGGCTACACATTAATTGGAAATTCAGCTCTGACTTGTCTTCATGGCATCAGCCGTAACTGGAATCATCCTCTTCCCAGATGTGAAGGTATGTTCTGGGTGACCTATGAACCCTTCATTATTTGTAAGTCTTCCTAAGGACTGTTAACTGAAATAATTTCAGCTTTTCAATTTATAGAGACCTGTATTTTTGTATTGTGGTCTTTGCAGGGGAAATATTCAATTTTGCATGTGAAAATTTTTGCAGAGAAGCTGAAATGTTTCATGGAAATATGAAATCTCTGAAAACTTATCTGAGATAAGAAGTTTATTTCTGGAAGGTTAGACTTAAGGTCTGGAGTGTGGAGACCTGTGCTGCTTTTTAATCTAGGTGGTGCTACAGAGTAAAAGCTGTGAACTGAATCAAGAAAAAAGGATTCAAAAATTGAATTTCCCAACTCTGGCCACTTATGTTCTATCTTATCAGTTAGAAAGAAATGTCAAGGGTGGCATAAAGTGCAGTTGTCCTCCAGTCAATGCTGTGTGAAGTCCGTTCTACATATAGAATAGAATAGAACAGAATAGAATAGAATCATTGAGGTTGGAAAAGACCTCTAAGATCATCGAGTCCAACCATCAACCCAACACCACCATGCCCACTAAACCATGTCCTTAAGCACCTCATCTACATGCCTTTTAAATACGTCCAGGGATGGGGACTCAACCACTCCCCTGGGCAGCCTCTTCCAATGTTTAACCACTCTTTCAGTAAAGAAATTTTTCCTC